AACGCGATTCAAGAATACATTGTAAGGAAATGTCAGGCGGGAGCCGTTGTTTTTGTCATAGCTCGGGACCCAACAACCTAGTTTGGTGACACCTCGCTTCCCACAATAAAAAGATGCGAGCTTCAGGGGGGGGCACTTTAATTGAACAAATGCAACGGTCACTGGGGAGGGGGATCAACCACAATTATTATCATACTAACCGGTATGATCTCGCACTACTCTCTTTCGACTGACCGCGCCTGGGTGTGCTTGTGCTGGGGTCCGTGTGCTGGGCGGACGTACTAGGGCGTGCGCTGGGGGCCGGGATGCATGCTGTGATGTGCTGGAGCACGTGCTGGCCGTGGCCCCCATGGGCGTGCTGGGCTGTGCGCTGGCATGTGTCGGCGTGCGCTGGAGGCGCTGGGATGTGCGGGCGTTGGCTCCCCCCCACCGCCCTTTGCCCCACTATTCCGGCCGACCGTGTCCGCCCCCTCTTCCCCTCTATTCCGGCCGACCCTGTCCCCCCCTGCTGCCCGACCGTGGCCCTCCGCCCACCCCCTGCCCCCCGACCGTGCAGCCCCCCCGCTGCCGGACCGTGGCCCCCGCCCCCCCCCCGCCGCCCCCCACCTCGTTTTTAAACCGCCCGGCCCCCTGTTCCCCCCCGTCGCCCCGCCCCCCCCGCCCCCCTTTATTCCGACCGCCCGCGCACCCCCCTGGCTGCACGACAGCGCCCCTTCGTTCCCCGCTTCCCCCTCCCTGCCCCCCCTCCCCTATCCCGACCGACAGTGCCACCCCCTTTCCCCCCGTGGCCACCCTTCGCTTTATTCAAACTGGCCGCGCGCCCCAAACGCCCGACCGTGGCCCCCCGCTCCCCTCCCCTTGCCGGCCCCCCCGTTCCCCCCACCCCCCCCCATCTCCTCATTCCGACCGACCGTGCCACCCCCGCCCTTCCTCCAGCGGCCCCTCCCTTAACTCCGACCGTCCGTGCAACTTTCCCCGCTCCCCGATCGTGGCCCCCCGCCCCGCCCCCTCTTCTCGTATCCCGACCGACCGCGCCCCCAACCACTTCCCCCCGTGGCCCTCTCCCCACCATGCCGACCGACCGTGTTCCCCTCCCCGCCGCCCGACTGCGGCCCCCCGCCCCGCCCCCGCCCGCGTCCCCTTTTCCGACCGACCGCGCCCACCCCCCTCTGCCCACGTGGCCCGCCTCCCTTTCTCCCGGCCGACCGTGCCCCCCCCCGCTGCGCTGCCCGACCGTGGCCCTCCATCGACCGTGCCCCGCTTGCCACCCGTGGCCCCTCCTCCTCCTCCTCCTCCTCCTCCTCCCTCCTCCTCCTCCTCCTCCTCCTCCTCCTCCTCCTCCTCCTCCTCCTCCTCTCCTCCTCCTCCCCCTCTCCTCCTCCCCCTCCTCCTCCTCCTGTGCCTTCCCCCCGCTGCCCGACCGCGCCCCCCGCTCCCCTCCGCCCGCCCCTCTCCTTGTACTCCTCCGACCGACCGTATGCCGACCGACTGTGCAGCCCCCCGCTGCCAGACCTTGGCCCCCCGCTCCCCTCCCCCTCACCCCTGCCCTTTTATTCTGATCGACCGTGCCCCCTCGTTCCCCGCGCGGCCCCTCCTTCCGACCGAGCATGCCCCCCCCGCTGCCCGACTGTGCGCCCCCCCCCCCTCCTGCCCGACCGTAGTCCCTCTTCCGCCCCCCCTCCCGCCCCCCTTTCCGACCGACCGACCAACCGTGCCCTCGTCCCGCTTCCCCCGTGGCCCCCCGCCAAGACGGCCCCAAGAGGCCCCCAAAAGAGCCCCGGGACGGCCGAAGCCTTTCAAGACGACCGAGGACCGCCCAAGCGAGGCCCAGAACGACCCGCAAGGGAGCCCCAGAGACGCCAAACAGCAGAGGCTCCGAGAAGCGCACAGGGCCACGTAGAAAAGAGGGGGCCACAAAGGGCGACAGCGGGGCCACGAAGGGCATGCAGATGGGGCCACGACGGGCGCGGACGAGCGGGGCCACGAAGGGCACACGTATAATTGGGCCGCAGATGGCAAGGACGGAGCCACTGAGGGCAGCAACAGGGCCACGAAGGGCAGCAAGGGGGCCACGAAGGGCGACAGCGGGGCCACGAAGCGCATGCATGCATATGGGGCCACGAAGGGCGCGAACGAGCGGGGGCCACGAAGGGCACACATATATGGGTACATATGTTGGGCTACGAAGGGCAGCGAGGGGGCCACGAAGGGCTGCGACGGGGCCACGAAGGGCAGCGAGGAGACCACGAAGGGCTGCAACGGGGCCACGAAGGGCAGCAACGGGGCCACGAAGGGCTGCAGGGCTGCAACGGGTCCATGAAGGGCAGCGAGGGGGCCACGAAGGTCTGCAACGGGGCCACGAAGGGCAACGAGATCCCGCTTCCCAAGCTGTGAGGGAGTCCTAAGCGTGAGCGCGACTCCTGGGTGCCTGAGTGTCGGGAGCGCGGCGCTTAGGTAAATTGCGGGGAATTCTAACGCAAGAGCACGATTTCTGAGTAAATTGCAACCGAGTCTCCAGCGAGAGCGCTACTCCAGAGCGCCGAGGGAGCGATGTCTCAATACATTGAAAGAAGTCCCCAGCGAGAGCGCGATTCCTGACAAAAATACGCGGAAGTCTCAGGCGGGAGCGGGAGTCCTGGCTAAATTGTGAGATGAAGCGGGAGCCGTTCTTGTTGTAATCCGGAGGCCAAGGGAACAGCTTGAGCCGAGTGCCTTTCCCTGTTAAATTCTATTACATATATATATATATATATATATATATATATTTACATATATATATATATAAAAATGCGAGCCCCAGGGGGACCACTTCAATTGAAAAAGCACCATGGTCACCGGAGGGGGGGCGATCAACAATCATTCTTCTTCAATACTGAGAGTTCAACAGTAAGCAGAGTTCATCATTCTTCTACAGTATGCAACAGCAACATCAACAATGATGAGAAGAACGTAACAACAATCCGCACCGCGGAACCCCCCTTCAGCCAAGCACCCAGGGGCGGTGAATGACTGTTCGGGCCCCCTCACTCCGAGGATGCGCCATCGCATTCACACGCGCGATCGGCGGTGGACAAACCTCCCTTTGGCAAACCTCCCCTTAGTGAAAACCGCCCGGGACCGAAACCGACGGGCCTGGACCCGCAAACATGACGGCCGCGACGCCCCCTCGCGAAGCGAGAAGGGCCCACTCCTGAATCGACGCGTCGGGGTGGGAGGCCTGTCCACCCCCGAAGCCGAGCCAGAAAGGGAGCGTCGGGACGGGCGGTCGGACCCTCAGTGGGAGCGCCGCGTCGGGCGGGCGGGCCCTGACAGGCGCGTCGAGCCGGGCGGGCGGATCACACGGGCGCATCGGGTCGGGCGGCAGGACCCTGACGGGCGGGTCGGGTTGGGGCGGGCGAGACGTTCCAGAATGACGCGTCGTCGAGTTCGCACGCGCGTGCCAGAAAAGGAGGGTCGGATCGGGCGGGCGGACCCCAACGGGCGGGACGGGTCAGGTGGGCGGACCCTAACGGGCGGGTCGGGTAGGGCGGGCGGTCCCTGACTGGCGGGTCGGGTCATGGCAATCATCAGCAACATGAAGATCGTCGTCATCATCATCATCATCATCATCATCATCACCATCATCATCATCATCATCATCATCATCATCATCATCATCATCATCATCATCATCATCATCATCATCATCATCATCATCATCATCATCATCATCATCATCATCATCATCATCATCATCATCATCATCATCATCATCATCATCATCATCATCATCATCATCATCATCATCATCATCATCATCATCATCATCATCATCATCATCATCATCATCATCACCGTCAACATCATCATCATCATCATCATCATCATCATCATCATCATCATCATCATCATCATCATTGTCAGCATCATCTCCATCATCTCCATTATCAGCATCATCAGCATCATCAGCATCATCATCATCGTCAGCATCAGCATCATAATCATCATCAGTTTCACCATCACCATCATCATCACCATCATCACCATCATCATCATCATCACCATCATCATCATCATCATCATCATCATCATCGTCAGCATCAGCATCATAATCACCATCGTCGTCATCATCGTTCCCATCGTCGTCACCATCATCATCGCCATCGTAAGTATCATCATCAGAAGCAGCATCAGCATCATCGTCATCATCGTCAGCATCATCATAATCATCAACGTCATCATCAGCATCATCATTATCCTTACCACTAAGAGTCTCATCAGCATAATCACTATCATCGTCATCAGCATCATCATGATCAGCATAATCACCAGCATCATCATCATCCGCAGCAACATCATCATCATCATCATCATCATCATCATCATCATCATCATCATCATCATCATCATCATCAACGTCTTCAACGTCTTCAACGTCACCGTCATCGTCGTCATAATCACCGCCATCGTCGTCGTTAGGATGTCGTTGTCGGCCGTCGGCCGTCCTCCGTCGTCCGTCCTCCGCCGTCCGTCGTCGTCGTCGGCAGCGTCGGCGTCGGCGTCGGCGTCGGCGTCGGCGTCGACATCGGCGTCGGCGGCGATGGCGGCATCGGCGTCGGCGTCGGCGTCGGCGTCGTCGGCGGCGTCGGCGGCGGCGTCGGCGGCGTCGGCGGCGTTGTCGTCGCCATCATTTGCCGTCGGCGCCGTCGTCGTCGTCGTCGTCGTCGTCGTCGTTTGCCGGCGGCAACGTCGTCGTCGTCGTTTGCCCGCGACGACGTCGTCGTCAGGCGTCGTCGTCGGCGGCGGCGTCGGCATCGTCGTCTTCGTCTGCTGGCAACGGCGGGGGGGGGGGGGAATTCTGGACCCCCCAACAATTTCCCCAGAGGGGGCTGGGAGGGGGAGTTCGGAACCCACTCCAACGATCGTTCGGGGGAAGGGCGCGGGGGGAGGCCCCCACACGCCTCGTTTTGGGGCATGGGGGGGGAGGGGGGGTGGAACCTCCGCCCCCCCCTCCCAGCAGCCTCAGACAGCGCTCCGTCGATGACGCCGACCTTCCCCGCGCCCGCCACGATCTCCTCGACCTGGCCCATCAGCTGCCTCTGGCGCGGTCGGTTGTGCGGCAGGGTCGCGGCGGGACGGCGCCGGCGCGCTGGTCTCTGGCACCGCGCAGCGCGTCCAGCCTTGAACGGCCGCGGCCCACCGACGGCGGAGTTCGCCCGCGAGGGCAGCCACCGACCCGCGTGAGCGCGGCGCGACGCCACCGCAGGCCACCCTGAGGGCCGAGACGGGCCAGAGGCGGCCCCACAGAGGCGGCCCCACAGAGCCTGCGGAGGCCGCAGAGAGCAGCCGAGCATGGCCGGGAGTCGGCGGGCCTGAGCTGATCTCTTGGCCTCCGCGGGGTATGGCCAGCCGTGCGGCCGTTCCGGGGCCCCCCCCCCGGCGCTCGGGGTGGCCGGCCGACCACGCGCCTCGAGCTGGACTGCACCTCCCTCCGCACCTCGCTCATCCGGTAGTCGAACGCCTCCTTGGTGACCCACTTGTTGCCCGCGACCAGCTGGCGCGCGGCGGCCGCGATCATGAGCTGCACCCGCGAGAGCGTCAGCATGGCGCTGGTGTCGGGCTCGGTCTCCTCCGGGGCGATCTTCTCCACCAGGACATTTATGCGCTGGGCGATGTCGATGTGCTGGGCAAGCTGCTCCCTCACGCTCTGCAGGTCCGCCTTGCTCAGCCCGACGTCCAGCTTCAGCTTCTGCACCGTCTCGGTCGCCTGCTCGACGTCCTGCCACAGCTTCTTGCTCAGCTCAGCGGGCACGCCCTGCAACGCAGCGGCACCCGCTACGGCGTCGCCGCCGACCCCTTCGCCCTCCATCAGGGCCTGCACCCTGTTCTCGAGCAGCATGAGCTTGTCCTCCATGCCCAGGATGATGCGCTTCACGACAGCATTGACCTCGGGGCCGCAGCTTTGACTCAAGGCCTTCGCGCTGCTCTTGACTGCGATCTCCAGCGCCCTCACCTTCTCCGACACCTCGCCCAGGTCCTTGTCCGAGGCCTTTTCTGCCCGCAGCTCTTTCACCTCCGCCTCGAACTTCTTGGACACGTTCTCCACCTTTATGGACACTTTCTGGGCGACGTTGAAGGAGTTGGCCGACACATCCTGGACACTCTTCTGCATCTTCTGCGCCTCGACCCTGAGTCCAGAGATCTCCTGCCAGAGCGCCGTCATGTCGCTCTTGCTCATGGCGGTTGACTCCAACTTCCGCACGTGCAGCGCGACCCTGTCATGGAGCTGCTCGAGGAGCTGCACTGAGCTCTCTGCCGACGACACCCTCGACTGCAGACCGGCGGGGTCGAAGACGTCGAGGACGGCCACCCTGCTGGCGAGGCCCTGGACCAGCACCCTGTCGGCCTTGGCCTCAAACCTCGCCTCCGAGGCCTTCTTGGTGTCCCTGAGATCCGACACCATTCGGTCCTGGGGAGATCAAAGGGTGCCGATATCCCGACGGTGAGGGCACGTTTTACGCCGACATGGGAGCAGATTGGGTTAACGGTCTATCCTTTGTGTGATAGCTATCAGGAGCAAGGAGGCGGTGAAGCACCTCGCACACGACACCGACGATGCTCGTCGCTGCAGCGGGGCACTGCTGCAGATTGCCTGAAAGGCATGGCGCACGCACGGTGCCGATCTCGTGGAACGCCGATTGAGGCTTGGCAGCCCTCATCAGGTACGGAATCCTCCAGCGTCTGGAGCCTCCTGGGCACACTCCTTGAAGAACGCCCCCGCCGTACTCCCCGGACCTCTCCCAGGGTGCGCACTGACCAGGATCTCCTGGCGACTCCAGCCGTGCCCCCCAAGGAGGCCCGAAAAGGGCGAAGACGACGCGAGGACGATCAGCGGCATGGGTAACCATGTCTGCTCCTCCCCTGAGGTCCATCCGGTCGTCCAGCTCCGCGAGCTGGGGCAGCAGCACCTCTCGGAGCAGGGCCAGTGGAGACGGGGACGCCTGCCCCGCCAGGCCCAGATCCGCTCCAGGTCGACCCCCCCGGGACCCCTCTCGGGGTCCGTCGTGGCGTTCTCTTCGCGCGGGCCTGGTCTTCCTGCACTCCAAAAACGGGCCTCTCGAACTCCGAAGAAAGAACCCTCCGCTGAAGGTCGATCCCCGGAGCCCCCTCCGGGGCCCGTCGTGGCGACTCCTGCTCCTCGAGGCGGGCCCGGCCGCGGCGCCGAGCGAAAGAGGCCCCTCCGCGCGGCCCGCCGCCGTCTCGGCCGGCCCTCCCCCGAGCCTGGTCGACGCGCCGGGCGAGCAGGTCCAGGCGCGCGGCGTGGGACCCGGTGGCGACCATCGCGTCGGCGGGCTGCTGGCCCGCGGCCCCGCCCCTCCCCGTGCGTCGCGGCCTGCCTGGCGCGCTGGCCGCGCTGGGCGCCGGCGAGGGCACCTCGGGCTCCTGCCCCGGGGGGGGGGGGGGGCAGCTCGCTTCGAACTCGAGGAGGAGGAGGAGGAGGGAGAGGAGGAGGAGGAGGAGAGGAGAGGAAGAAGAGGAAGAAGAGGAGGAGGAGGAGGAGGAGGAGGAGGAGGAGGAGGAGGAGGAGGAGGAGGGAGGAGGGAGGAGGGAGAAGGAGAGCGCTCGTTCTCGATCTCCGGCCCCCGGGGCCCATCGTCGAGCCCCGGGGCCAGCAGAGACGGACCCGGGGCGAAGTGAAGCCCTGGGGAGGGGGTCGTGGGTTCTGAGGCCGCGGATTGCAAAAAAACATGTCGGCTGGGCCGCGGGCTGGGAGGGTCTTGGCCTCGAAAACAAAACCATGGGCCCGAAGGGCAGCTCTTGCCCTTGGCCCGTTTCGAGGCCCCTGGCCCCGGCCCCGAGGGACACACAAATCCCCACGGGTCACTCGGTCGAAGGCCTGCTGAGGCCAGCCAGGGATGAATTACTCGGAGGGATGTCCGTGCGCAACCGGCCACTGGCTGGGAGGGCCTTGGCTTCAAAAACAAAACCACAGTCCCCGAAGGAACAGCACTCGCTTTTGGCCAGTTTCGAAGCCTCCTCGGTGAGAGCATCTAATTATGGCTCCCCCGAGGGGAACGCACATTCCCACGAGTCAATCGGCCACGGGCTGGGAGGGTCTTTACCCAGACATCTGCCGATCTGCTTCCCGACCCCTTCCCCGGGGCCAGCTTCTTCGCCCCGAGTCGATGCTTGGTGGCCCAGGGCCCGAAGGCAGCCCGCGAGGGGCGCCGGAGCCATGGGGAGGGGCTCGGCCTCGAAGCAAAAATCACTGGCCTGGAAGTCAGCTTCTGCTGTTGACCCGCTCCGAGGCCTTTGCTTCCTCCTCCTCCTCCTCCTCCTCCTCCTCCTCCTCCTCCTCCTCCAACTCATCCTCCTCCTCCTCCTCCTCCTCCTCCGTCCTCCTCCTCCTCCTCCTCCTCCTCCTCCTCCTCCTCCTCCTCCCTCCTCCTCCTCCTCCTCCTCCTCCTCCTCCTCCTCCTCCTCCGCTTCTGCTGTTGACCCGCTCCGAGGCCTTTGCGCTAGGCAAACATGAGCGACGAAGCCGTTGCGCTTCTGTGACGATGAACAGCATGCGACGTGTGCCACGTCGTGCCATGTGGCTACACGTTGCGGCAAGGACCTCGGCGCGCAGCGGCACAGGTGCGGCAACGAGGCGGCGGAAAGCAGAGCAGCCCCGACGGGCGCAAAGTACCCGCGCAGAGGTCCGCGAGGATACAGTCGGGGTGTTGACCTAAGGAACCCTAAATAAGGAACGAGGCCCCTGTTTTCTATAAGTTGAACTTCGATTTCTTCTTCAGCCCCCCTCCCCATTCAAAAGGGTTCCTTCTTCAGGGCCCCGACTGTATTGATGGGAAACGATGGCGCTCACAAGATTCGGGCGTGAACACAGCCCCCTGTAGCAAGTCGCCCTTCATTGCAAGCTGCCAGGGGCGCTCCACGTGCGCACGGAGTGCCGCACGCATCCAACGAGACGCACGCCGATTCGCGGAAGCGATCGGGGACTGCACTGGCACACTCGAATGCCAATGTCGAGTCAACTATTGCAGGGTTTTCTCAGCCGCCTTGTCTCGGTGGGCGTTCTCTCAGTGCCCGGAAGATGAATCCTCCTACTCCTCCTGCGCGACGGCACTCGGGGCGGCCTCGTGTTGGCCGCCCAGGGCCGCATCGGCACGGAGTCAGAATCAAATCGAACCGAATCGGCGACGCCAGGATGCGCAACAGCGCCACATGGGATCACCCGACCACAGGAATCGAATCGAATCGAATCGGGCCGGCCGGAGCCGATATCGAATGGCATCGATCGGATCGGAAAGGGCGCTGGCTGCTGGCCCGTTCCTGGGGGAACAGAAAGGCATCGACACCGCCACTCCCCGGACCTCGCCTGGGGAGTGGCGGTGTCGACCAGAACTTCGAGGCGAACCCGATCGTGGCGACGAGGGCCTCCCACGAGGCCCAAGAAAAAGGAAACGAGGCAAGGGCAGCGGGATGGCTGCCTCTTCCTCCTCGGAGCTTCGAGGCCTCCGGAGGGCCCAGTGCGCAGGACACCGCTGCTGCGGCTGCTGCCAAGGCTGCGACCGGGCGGCGCGAGCGAGCGAGAGGGAAGCGGAGCGGGGAGGCCGGAGGCCACGTGCGAGCCCCACCCCACCCCGCCCCGCGATTCCTCCAGAGGGGGGAGGTGGGGCTCCCTGCGCCCCTCCCCCCCCCCCCGGAGAACTCTCGCGGGGCGGCGGGGTCACGAGCTCCGCCCGTGGCCCCCCTGGCGGGCGGCAGGTCCTCGAGCGCCGCGGCAGACGTGGCCGCCGCCTCCTCCGCCGCCGCGGCCCCCGGGGCGGCCGCCGGGCCCCTGCCGGGCGCGGGGCGCGGCGAGGGCTGCTGGCCCGGGGCGGCGCCGCCGTCCCGCCTCGCCTGCCAGGGAGGGGAGGGAGGCGACGGCCTGCGCGTGAGCTGCTTGCGGAGGCGTACGGTCCGCCCGGAAAAGAGCAAGGATGCGCGGCAAGGGTGCCAGGGGCCTTTTGTGAAGCCCAGTCAGAAGCTTCTCGAGCGGGGCGCGGCCAACGAAGGCGGCCAAGGATGGACCGAGGAGGCAAGGATGCAAGGGTACCCTTGGGGAGGCTGCCCATCCTTACTATGCGGGTTGGCTGCAGGACGAAGCCCTTGACGGGGAGAAAGCTGGGCAAGGACAGATCGGAACTCTCTGGGTCTCAGCGGTGCTGGATCTGGAGGAGGTGGCGGGCACCGCGGCCGTGCCAGAGCGTTCTGGACAGCTCTGGAACGGCTTCATCGTCGTCCCGGCCCCGCCCGAAGGTGGGAGGACGCGCACTGCACTGGACCCGGAAACTAACGACACACCCCGCCTTCGGCCCCAAGGCCCTTGAAACATGCCATGGAAGCTGGCTTGGGCTTTCGCGCGGTGTACGCTGCGGCCCACGATGGGCCGCAGGCGGAACGTGGAGGGCCGCAGGCGGGCTCGGTTTCTGCTGGTCGATCTACGCCTACGCCGATCCTGGCCGTGCTCGTCCTGGGCCCCGTGTCGGCGTTGGCGCACTCCTGGCTTGCGCGCACGCGCGGGTCCTGGGCCCCAGACATCGGCCTGCCCGGGCTCAGGGCACAGTCAACCCGCAGCAGAAGGAAGCGCGGGGAGGATGCGACACGCTGCGAGCGGGGCACGGCCAGCGAAAGTCGCTGAGGATGGGCCGAAGGGGCGAGGATGCGGGTGCTGCAAGGGTACCCTTGGGAAGGTTGCCCACCCTTATTACGCGGGTTGACTGTAGCGTGTCGCGCCGGAGCGTGCTGGGCCGGAACCGGCGGAGCGACACGCCGCGGTCGGACCCAGGACAGACGAGCACCCTTCAAGAGCATGAGACCCTCCGCCGGCCAAAACACCCCCAACCAGAAGATCACTCGAGGGTACCCTCCCCCGGGGAGGTACAAGGGCATCCAAGAAGCACAAAGAGCACTCGGGTACCCTCCCCGAACCGACCTCGATCTCATACCTCGGTCCGACCGTAAGCCAAAGACTTCTGACGGTGAGCATGAACTTTCAGAGGTCCGCGCAGATCTCTTGGGTCTGCTGCGAACCCCTTCCCTGGCGCGCGGAGCGCAGCTCCAAGGACTGCGCGTGGACCTCCGAAGACTTATGTGTTGATGCCGCGTTTTCTCCTTCGAGCCTCCTCGAGCAATCTGCGCACCTCGTCCTCGAACTCTTGGCGTTCGTCCTCGATCATCTGGAAGTGCATGGCCAGGTCCCGCCCCATCTCGTTGCGGGGCTGCAAGCACCAAGCCCACCTAGCCTCGATCTCGCCCACCCTGTGCCAGGGTACGTCTTCTGGGTCTGGATCGTCAATTTGGAACACCCTCGTCTCTACCAGTTTCTCCTTGCTCCTGAAATCAACTGCCTTTTTGCCGTCCTCCCTTTTATGTTTCCTGGAGTGCTTGTCCTTTTCCTTCCTGGCACCGTCCTCCTCTTCCTGAAGCTGCTCTTGTTCTGCCGCTTCTTGCCCCGGTTCGATCTCCAGGATCTTCTCCACCTGCTGCCGCAGCCTCTTCGGCAGGAAGCTCTCCATCATCCCTAGGCGCTGGCCGAGGAGCGTGACCGCGGCCTGCAGCCCCTGGAACTGGCCTGCGGTCTCACCCTCAAGGTCCGTGACCTTCTTTCCCAGCCTCACGAAGCGGGCCGTTATGCCGGCCTGGTCCTCCGCACTGGGCGCCCCTGGGTGTGGGGGGGAGGGGGGGGGGGGGGGCAAGAATCGGGCAGGTGGTAGTGGGGGGTGGCCTACACGGGTGGTGGAGAAGATGGCCCTACAGGGGCCCTTTGGGGCCCCTTGTGGGCCCTGCCTGCTCCAAAAGGGCCCCCCATTTAGGTCACCACCCATTACCACCCGCCCGAAAGAGAGCACCGATGCCGCTGCTCCTCGGACCTCTCCAGGGGTGCTCTCCGAACAGGGCTCCAAGGCGAATCCAGCTGCGGCGGAGGACGAGCAGCAGCCTCGGCATCTTCCCCTCCCTATGAGCCCAGACATCCGCCGACGCGTTGCTTTCGATCCGCGAGCCCAGAACTCCCGCAGCTGTTCGCCTCGGAGCCGTTGTGGGTGGTCCCGGGGCCCGCAAGCGGTCGCCGAGGGCCGAAACCCGGAGGCGGCGCCGGGATTGCGAAAAATCGTGCCGTCGGAGAGCTGGGCGTCTCTTCCTCCTCCTCCTCCTCCTCCTCCTCCTCCTCCTCCTCCTCCTCCTCCTCCCTCCTCCTCCTCCTCCTCCTCCTCCTCCTCAATCTCCTCCTCCTCCTCCTCCTCCTCCTCCTCCATCTCCTCCTCCTCCTCCTCCTCCTCCTCCTCCTCCTCCTCCTCCTCCTCCTCCTCCTCCTCCTCCTCTGCGCCCCGCCGTGCGGTGCCGCGACGCCCGCCACCCTGCCGCCGCCCGGGGAACAGGGGCTCGCTGCCCGGGAGCCTGGAGGCACAACAAAGGGCCAGCAAAAGCATGGGCAGTCGAGGCTCCGCGCGGATGTCTTGCAGAGCGGCGCCGGG